TCCATAAAACTGCACACATTTACACCCATAGAACCATCATCACAGTAAAGTTAATAAGTATATCCTGTAAATTTATACATTCTGTTGAATATGGCAGGATTTATTTCTCTTTTAAAGTATCCCTTGTATGTATATAGCACTTTCTTCTAATCCATTCATCAATTGACATGTAGGTCACTTCCTCCTTTGTTTATTTTAAATAATGCTGCTATGAAGATGGTAGTGTAGATATCTTTTCATGGCCTCATTTCCATTCTTTCGGATACAGGCACAGAAGTAAGATGGTTGATTATATGGCAGCTCTATTTTTAATATTTTGAGGAAAGTCCACACTATGTTCAAAAACAGCTCTACTGTTTTACATTCTCATATACAAGGTTTCTCTTTTCTCCATGTCCTCACCAACACTTGCTACCTTTTGGATATATGCATATCCTAACAAGTATGAAGTGATATCTCATTATGGTTTTGATTTGCATTTCCCTGATGATTAGTGATGAAGAGCACCTTTATATAAATTTGTTGGTCATTTGTATGTCTTATTTGGAAAAGTATATGTTCAGTTTCTTTGCCCATTTTTTAAATTGGATTTTCTGTTTGATGCATTGGTTTATTTTGGTTCTTTTTTATTTGTTTGTTTGTTTTTGTTGTTGAGTTGTATATATATTCCAAGGTGCATGACTGCTGGAAAGTGCTTTTAGCTTGGTAAGAATATGCCAAACTGTCTTCTGTGGGTAATACCATATTTAAGAAGATTTTTCCACCTTCCCCATAGGTTTTTTTTCTTACTAAGTGTTTTACCATTTTAAGTTTAATACTTAATCCACTTTGAGTTGGTTTGCAGAAGGAAGATGGAACATGGCATAAATTGGCCAGATTTCAGAAAGAAACCCAAACGCTCATGATGCAATTACTACCCAGGTGCAGATGTGACTCCATAATGAAGTTATACCTGCAAGGGTTTCAGCCCACAGTCATCAACCCCAGTAACACAAATTCTGCCATGCCAAAAGGAAAAATCATATGTAGCTGGGAAACACATGTCAAAAAAGATTTGAATCCTGGGAAATAACCCCCTGAGCATCAAGGAGACTGCAACAGACATGATCAGAATCTTCAGGATCAAGAGATGGCCAAAGAAACAATATATAGAGGACTGTAGATGTTTATTAACATTGATAATGACTGCTATGACTTAAATACAATCACTGACAGAAGAGAAAGATAGGACATCGGATAGTTCTTGTGAGGCAGGGATGCCTAAAAGACAAAGTTTAGTAGCACTAGCGTGATTCCCTCACATTTAGTCCTGAATATTTGCTCTTTGTGAAACTAAAAGGAAAAAAAGAGAGAGAGAGAGAGATAAAATTGCTTCTGACTTCAAATGGACTAACGATACATCCATGATGAAGAAATATTCCCTTCCTGGCTAGGCTCCACACTATGAGTCTATAAAGGGTAGATATTAAATGTTTTATCAAATATAGATAATGGATATACATGTCCAAGAACACTGTTTACCAATACTGTACAACAGACATGAAAATCTATTCACCACAATATGAACTTTTGTCTCTCAGTTCACTGGATAGCCTGCTTCCAACTGTGGTCTGACCAATGTCCTGTACACGTCCCTGAACACAACATGCTCATTTATATCACACCCCTTTTATCTTAAATGGACCTACACTACCTTCTCTGCCTATTATGTTCTTTTCCTGCAAAGTCCTGCTGCATTTCACAAATTTTAGAAACTATACCTAGCAAATCCAACACAGATGTAGTTACTGCTTTTGTTTCCATTGAATATAGACTCTGTTTACATTATGCTTATTTCAAAGTTTTCACTTCAGTTATCTTTATCATCACTTTTGTGGGTGCTGTTAGAGCCTGCTGACTTGGACATGGGATCTATTTTGTATATTGTAATAAAATTGCTGTTATTTTGAGACAAAATGGACTCTTTCCTGTACTTCTGGGAGCTGGCTCCCTGGAGTAGATTACGCACCTCTTCCTCTTTATTTTTATGATAAAAGCCACCTCCTGCCTCTTATCTCAGTGAATGTATCTCCTCCCAGAAGGCAGACTGACCAGCCCCCAGTACCAGTCATATTATTAAACATGGGTTATTTAATCCAGAGTATTATAATTATTCATATATTTATCTGCATCCCACAATGAAAACTGAGCTCCTCAAAACCTGGAATCATGTCTTCTTATACCATTTTATGTCCATTGCAAAGAAAAGCAATGAGAACTTGGCAGACATTCAATAAATGTTAGTAGATTGTAGGTTAATAGCTTAAAGACCTGAAAAATATCTTTTAAATTAATCTATTTGACTTGTAGATAAATACTGCAAACATAATGTGTTTATCAAAATACTTTAAAACAATGTTTCCTTTGTAAAGAAGATGTAAAATGAATAACTAGATGATATGTCATTACTTAGATCTTCCCTGGTTTCTACACAGCATTCCAGATGGACACTGACTGGCGGCTCACTGTCAGGTAAAGAGCAATTTCAGTGAAGGGTTAGAGCTCAAATTTCAGTCCTGTGCTATTAACATGACTAAAGTGACTTTCATAATACATACCCATCAAAGAGAAAAGAATAGAGAATAAAAAAACAATCAGTTCTAGAAAAGGTAAGGACGTAACCTGAATGGGAAATATTACAACTCTGAGTCTGGCACATTAGAACGTAGACAAAGGAGATCAGGAGGAATGGATTCAAAAACACTCAGTACAAGAGGTGTAGGTGTAGAAAATCCTCCTCCTTAGAAGGAGGGACGCAATTTAAAATGGAAACTGAACTCTTAGGAGGAGGGACGCAATTTAAAATGGAAACTGAACCTTGAAGACGAAGGGGGAGCAAGTGGCGAAAATTAAAGTTCTTACAAAAATATAAGATGATCAAAAGAAATTCCAAGCCATCCACCCACAAAATACTACCATTTATTAAAGAATATGCACGGTTTCTTTAGTGACAGAAAGCATTAAGAAGTATAGTAAGGAATGTAGTAAACTAGTTCAGATAATAAAGGTCCCTATCAGAAAAGCCTGTTTGCTGGATCAGGAAACTCTAAAGATGTTTATAGCAACAGAAAATAGTAAACATCCGTATAAAGGTTCTAAAACAAGAAAATAAAAGGATAAAACAAAAAATTTTAGCTGCTGAAAATATTCTCCAAATACATTCACAGAATTGAGGGACACTGGGAACCAGCAGTTAGCGTAATGGCTATGTTGCTGGACTCCCATGTAGTCGACCACGGTTCGTGTCCCGGACCCGGTGGCTTAAAACTCACGCCGGGCGCGTGTGCGTGCGTGTCCAAGATCCTGAGAGGAGAATGGAGGAGAAGGGATTGCGGCATGACCATCCCCTCTGGGGGGGTGATTTCTTGCTTTCTGTCTCTCTGTCTCTCTCTGTCTGTCTGGCGAGCGCACGTGCCCTATGGCGAAAACCTCTCAAAAAAAAAAAAAAAAGAATTGAGGAACACTGTAAAATAAATCTCCAATATCAATCAGCAACAATTAAAAATTTCTTAAAAATGTGAAACAAAACTGGAGATCAGAAAACATTATTTTAAAACACAGAAGTACCTATAAAAAGAGTAAGGTAGAAAAAATTTAAGTAAATAAGAGAAAGAATTTGAAAAATGACAAAATTACCTCAGGAAACAAATACTAAATTACGAAGTGCCCAAGGAAGACTGTATTTGACTATAATATTGACTACATATTGAGAAAAAGAATGAATACATCAAAAAATAAATTAAAAAGTAGAAAGGGGAAGGTGATCAGTTAAAACAAAAGGACAACAGGATGAAAGAACTGACACTACTTTTAGAAAGGGGAAGGTGATCAGTTAAAACAAATTAAAAGGACAACAGGATGAAAGAACTGACACTAAAAGCTATGAATCCAGGGAAGAAAGGCTGAAGATGTGGAAGTAAGGCAAGGAGAGAAGTCACTGAAGAAGATGTGGAAGTAAGGCAAGGAGAGAAGTCAAAGCAACAGGAAGATGTGAAAGACAAAACCACACTTCCGAGCAGCTTGCACATGGCAGAAAGAGAACTATGGGAATTTATCTCTATAACTCCCTCCTGTCTCATTTCTCATTGGTCAGGGTTCATCCTTCAGTATATAACTACTCAGACTTCATGATGATACTGTCTTCCTCTTAACAGTTACTCAGGAACCCAATGCAAGGTCTACAAGGCTGTCCTCTTGTATAATCAGAAAGAAGTGTAGTAAGCTGGCATGGCTAGTTTCAGCTAATACCTGAGAGCTATCTGTGTGCAGAGCTTCGGCTGACTCCACCCAGCTTGGGAAGCCCAGAAGAGAAGGCAGCAGTGCCCAGGGGCAGGTCATACCTTTGGAAAGGATGCAGTTGAAAAGATTTGAGGAAATGCTGAAATTTTGTGTCCATAAAAATTTATAAGCATAAACACACATTAATCTTGACTGATAGTAGAGATAGAAGAGGTTTTGGAAACTACCATTTGAGATGTTTTTATTTACAAGAAACAGAAAGGTGAACCAAAAACTGTCACACACATTGAAGGAAATTTCATAGATACCTAGTGAGAAGATCTAGATTCTAGAAGTTGCATCAGGACTTTGGCTACATTTCTGGCTAGTTCTCACATCCTGACTCCTCTGTGAGTGCACTGAACTTTAGCAAACCTCCCTGATGGTTCCAAAATGACAGCAGCAATTTTGACTTCTCATTCACGTGCTACATTGCCAGAGCAAAATCTGAACATTGTTTATTGCAATGTTATCTCAATTAAGACTGATGCTTAATAAGTTGAGTTGTGTCATATATCTACCCTTGACCTAAACACAGTTCTCACTTATAAGTTTAGGTCAAGCAGGCCACACCCTGGAGGATGATTGTGACACAATAGAAGGGGAATGGGGTAGGTGCTATGAGAGTAGTCATGGTGTCCATTACTGATATCATCTGGTTTAACTCTTCTTCATATATAAAACAAATCTAAAGTCCAAAGCTCAGTGACTTTTCAGATTAACATAATTTTCCTATTCTCAATATAAACTGAACCAAAGTCTTCTAACAGTCCCCTATATATTTCCAAAGTAGGACTAGGGAAGAATAGGTGTGATTTCAGAATGAATGTATAAGTAATAAGTAAGAATGTGATAATGACTATAGTGAGATTAGTTTACCCAGAAATCAGCAGAAATGGAGAAAAACTCACAATTCAATATCTAGATGAACTTTCTGGAAGCTGGAGTGGGTCTGAGGTAAGTAAATAAAAATATAATAAATTAGGGATAAATAAAAGCCAAAAATGCTATATATATATATATATATATATATATATATATGTGTGTGTGTGTGTGTGTGTGTGTGTGTGTGTGTGTGTGTGCGCGCGCGTATATATATATATGTGTAGAGGGGAGAATTGAT